GGAGGTTGCGGTGAGCCGAGATCGCGCCATTGCACTCCAGCCTGGGTAACAAGAGCGAAACTCCGTCTCAAAAAAAATAAGATAAAATAAAGTAAAACAAAATTTTTGTACGTTAAAGTCCACTCTGTGTTGTTCACTTGTAAGGTTTTGACTGTCATGTATCGACCATTACAGTGTCACACATAACAGTTTTACCATTCTTTCTTTGTTTTTTTTTTTCTTTTTTTTTTTTGAGACAGTCTTGCTCTGCCTGGGCTGGAGTGCAATGGCACGATCTCGGCTCACGGCAACCTCCGCCTCAGGGGTTCAAGCGATTCTCCTGTCTCAGCCTCCTGAGTAGCTGGGATTACAGGTACATGCCACTATGCCTGGCTAATTTTTAAAATTATTTTCATTTGTAGAGATGAGGTCTTTATCGCCCAGGCTGGTCTTGAACTCCTGAGGTTGAGTGTTCTGCCTGCGCTGGCCTCCGAAAGTGCTGGGATTACAGATGAGTCACCATGGCTGGCCATCATTTTCTTGTCTTAACAGTGTGCTTCGCAGAACCAAATTTTTTTTTTTTTTTTTTTTTGAGTCGGAGTTTCGCTCGTTACCCAGGCTGGAGTGCAATGGCGTGATCTTGGCTCACCGCAACCTCCGCCTCCTGGGTTCAGGCAATTCTCCTGCCTCAGCCTCCTGAGTAGCTGGGACTACAGGCCCGCGCCACCATGCCCAGCTAATTTTTTGTATTTTTAGTAGAGACGGGGTTTCACCATGTTGACCAGGATGGTCTCGATCTCTTGACCTCGTGATCCACCCGCCTCGGCCTCCCAAAGTGCTGGGATTACAGGCGTGAGCCACCGCGCCCAGCCTCAAATTTTTAATTTTTATAAAGGCCAACTAGTTTTCTTTCATGGAAGTTCATGATGTATGTAAAAATCTCATTGCTAAATCCAAGCTCACCTAAATCGCCTCGCGTGTTGTCATCCAGTTCTATAGTTTTGCATTTTACATTTACATCTGTGATCCATGTTAAGTTTTGTGATAGGTATAAAGTCTGTGTCTAGATTCATTTTTCTGTATATGGATGTCCAATTTTTCCACCACAATTTGTGGAAAAGATGATCATTCTTTATTGAATTTCCTTTATTCTTTTCTCAAAGATCAGTTGGCTATATTTGCATGGACCTATTTCTGGGCTCCCAGTTCTGTTACATTGATCTGTTTGTCTGTTCTTTTGTTGATGCCAGGCTGTTTTGATTACTATAGCTTTACAGTAAGTCAGTTCTCTGTTATTTATTTATTTATTTTTTAGTATGGTGTCGGCTATTCTGAGTGTTTGAGTTTTCATATAAACTTTGGAATCGGTTTCTCAATAGCCAGAAAACAACTTGCTGGAATTTTGATTTGGATTGTATTCAATCTATAGATCAAGTTGGGAAGAACTGATATCCTAACCATATTAAATTTCTGTCAGCCAGCACCAACGATCTCACCATTTATTTAGATCTTCGGCTTCTTTCATCAGTTTTGTAGCTGTTCTCATGTAGTTCCTGTACATATTTTGTTACATTTATACCTGGGTACTTCACTTTTATTGTGCTAATGTCAATGCATTGCGTTTTTATTTAAATGTTTTTTTTCTCAAGGCAAGCTATAGTAAGTCATTTGCATTGAGTTTTAAATGCTGAATTCCCATTGTTCATTGCTAGCACACAGGAAGCAACTGACTTTTGTGTATTAACTTTGTATCCTGCAGTCTCCTTATAATGACTTACTAGTTCCAGGAGTTTTCAGTTAATTACTTGGGATTTCCTACACAGATAGTCATCTGTGAACAAAGACAGTTTTACTTCTTCCTTCCCAACCTATATACATTTGATTCCTTTTCCTGTATTATGTCATCAACCTGGGTTTCCAGTGCAATGCCGATTAGGAACGCTGAGAGGGATGGCCTTGCCTTCCTCTTTATCTCAGGAGACAGTATCTACAGCCTCACCATTAAGTGCGATGTTGGTTGCACATTTTTTGGTAGATGACCTTTATCAAGTTGAAGAAATTTTCTTTTATTTCTAGTTTTTTGAGAGTTTTAATCATAAGTGAGTACTGAATTGCATCTGCTGCTTTTTCTGCAGCAGCTGATCCTTCATCTGGGGATGAAGCAAAGAAAATCATAGGATCTTATCAACTGATGCAGAAACCCATTAACGAAGTGGATGACATTAATTGATTTTCAAATGTTGGGCCAGGCTTGCACACCTGGAGTAAATCCCCCTTGGTAGTTATGTATGACTCCTTTTATACATTGTTGCATTCGATTTGTTAACATTATTTCAAGGTTTTGCATTGATGCTCAGAGAGACACTGATATGCATCTTCCTTTTTTCTGTCTTTATCTAGTTTTGGTTTTGTTAGTGTAATGCTGGCCTCAGGGTGAGTTAGGAAGTGTTTTTGCTGTTTCTATTTTCTAGAAGAATTGTAGAGAATTGGTATCATTTCTCCCCTTAAATGTTTGGTAGAATTCACCAGTGGAACCATCTGCTTATTTCTTGTTTGGAAGATTATTATTTACGTACTTAATTTCTTCCCCCCACCTTTTTTTTTTTTTTTTTTTTAAAGAAATGGGGTATCTCTGTTGTCCAGGCTGGACTTGAACTTCTGGGCTCAAGTGATTCTCCCTCCTCGGCCTGTGAAGTAACTGGGACTATGGAAGTGTGCCACTGTGCCCAGATAATTCGGTTTTTTTGATCCAGGCCTATTCAGTTGATCCATTTCTCCTTGCATGAGTTTCGGTAGTAACTTTCTTTTTCTGCAGGGGGAGGGGAGAGGGACAGAGTCTCGCTCTGTCGCCCAGGCCGGAGTGCAGTGGGTGATGCCAACACAGCTCACTGCAGCCTCCACCTCCTGGGTTCAAGCAACTCTCCCATTTCAGCCTCCTGAGTAGCTGGGACTACGGGCACCTGCCACCGTGCCCCTACCGCACCCAGCTAACTGTATTTTTCACCCTATGTTGCCCAGGCTGGTCTCTAACTCTGGTCTCAAGCGATCCTCCCACCTCGGCCTCCCATAGTGCTGGGATTACAGGCGCTCAGTGGAGGCCGCACAGCTCAGTGTGACGCTGTCCTGTGGCTTGGGTCTAACCAATGCACCGGGTGCAAACCAGGTGCAACCACAGAGCCCACGGGAGCGGCCGTGCCCCGGGAGGGTGGGTTTCGGACGCCTGGCCTTTGGGGATGGGGGCTGCCTTCCGGCCACAGTCTGTAATAATTACCCGAATCCCCTCCGTGTCCTGTTGGGCCCCCAGGAAAACGGGGTTGTCCTAGGGTGGGGCTGACTCCTGGATCCAGGCAGCAGAGTGAGACAAGGCCGGGACCCCAGCCCTGGGTCAGCAGGCCCGCGGGGCGCCCGTGCGCACGGGTCGGGGGCGCCTGAGTCTCTTCCTGGCCGTCAGGAGAAGCACCTGCTGCGTCCGGGTCAGGAACGGCCGGGACCTCGGAAAGGAGGCCGGGGTCACGGGAGATGCAGCCTGTGCCGGGGCCCGGCCACGGGCAAACGCGGGGCTGGGGCGGGGGTTCCGCCTGCCCGCGAGTGTGACCTGCAGCCCCCGCCGCGCCGAGTGCGTTCAGCCGAGGCCCCTGAGCCCCGCGGGTCCGTGCGGAGGGGCCCCGACCGGCCCTCCACGGGGGAGCGGCTTCTGGGGCCGCCACGCAGGCAGCCGAGAGGTCGGGGGACCGGGGTGGGCGCCGCCCGCGTGTCTGCCGCGCCCCTCGCTGCGAGGCGGCACCGGCCTGGGGCCCCGGGAGGCCGCGCGGAGGCGGCGGGAGGTCGGACGCTCACCCTAGCCAGGCCCTGTCCTGGGTCCCCGCGGCCCCCAGGCCCGGCCCTGACCCGCCCTCCCGCCCTCCCTGGGGTGCGCACCGGCCCCTCTTTGCTCCCCTGGGCGCCCCCCGGGCCCTGACCTGCCTGACCAGTCCTGGGGTCCTTCGACTTGTTTCGGGTTGGTTTTCCCAGGAGCAGCTGAGGCGCCTTCGGCCGTTCCCGCCCCGCGTGTCCCCGCAGCCTCCTTTCCCGGGGCGGCCCCGGGACCCCGGGACCCAGCGGCCTCGCGGCTCCAGCGCCCTGGGCACCTCCGCTCTCTGCTGACAGAATGAGACGGGCCCTGTGCCGCTGGGGCCCGATCCTGCGTCTCCGCGGGGTCCCCTCCGTCCGCCCCGGAGAATCGACAGCAGCGGAAACGAACGCCCGCTCGGGTCCCGTGAATCCTCCTAACGCGGCTTCGTCGGACGAGAAACGCTCGGGACCAACAGGACCACGATCCGGGGTCCCGGGGGGCTAATGGGATGGGGGCGTCCCGGGGGTAATGGGACGGGGACGAAGGCCGTGGCGGCCACCCCGCCTCCCCCCTCCCCACGGGCCCCGTTTCGTCCCCTCCCTGCGGGCGCGTTTTGCCGGCAAGGCCACCAGATGGCGACGCAGGGCCCCGAACGGCCGGGGAGGCGCAAGCAGAGCTGGCCGGGCTCCTCTCGCGGGCGGGGCCGGGGCGGGGGGAACGGGGGAAAGAGAGGGACGGGGGGTGGGAGACCGGGGGAACGAGGGAGAGGGGGGGAACGGGGGGAGAGGGGGACGGGGGGAGACGGGGACGGGGGGAGACGGGGACGGGGGGAGAGGGGGACGGGGGGAGAGGGGGACGGGGGGGCGGACAGGCGGGGCCGGGGAGTGGGGGGGGGTCGGCGGGCGGCTCCGGGGGCGTCTGAGTGGGTCCCTCGCCGCCCGTGGTCAGGGAGCTCCGCTGGGCCGGACTCGCAGTGGCGGGAAGGTCCCCACGTCCAGGCCCCCGGAGGGAGGAGGTGGGGGGGCTGGTAGCGTCCGAACCCCCGCCCCCCTCCTCGCCCCCGAGGCGCTTTCGCTGTTTCCCCGAAGTGACGACCGCACCTGGGCCGGAAGCGGGGAGGGGCCGCCGCGTGGGAGCCGGACGCCGGAGCCCTTTGCGGTCCGGACGGCGTTGGGGGGCGGGACCCCCTGCGCCCGGCCCTGCGGAGGAGGAAGGGGCTCGGGGCGCGGCTCTAGCTCGGAGCGGGACGCTCCTCCGCGGTCGGGGGCCCGGGACGCAGACCCGCCCCCACCGTGGGAACGCGCTGCCCTCGCCCGGCCGCTCTCCGCGGACCGCTGGGAAACGCCCCCCGACGCCGGCTCCCGGCCGCGCTTTCAGGGATGTTTTCCTCGGGCTGGAAACGCCCCGCCCCGCTCCGTTTCGGGTGCTTTCGCGGCGCGCAGCCCTGGAGGCCTCCCCAGCGCCGAGGCCGCGCTGTTCACCGCCCCGCGGGGGCGTGTCCGGGGCAGAGTCCTTGCCAGGCCCCGTCCTGCCGCCAACCCCTGCGTGGCCCGGGTCCCCCCAGGCCTCCCGCGGGAGCAGAAGCGGGCCCCTTGGCCACCTCCCCGCGTGGGAAGTCCGCAGTCCCTGCCTCTGAGCCGGGCCCGTGTCTTCCGATGGCCCCCAGGGAGCTGTGTCGGTGGAAGCTCAGACCGCGCCGCTTCTGCACGGGGAGAGCCCCCCCGGCTCCTGGAGCCCCCCCGCCTCCCAGACCCGAGCTCCAGGCCCAGCCTCGGGTTCTCTCGAGCGCTTAGACCCGCGGCCAGCCCGGCTTCCAGAACGCAGTGAAATTGACTCCCTGTGTTCTGCGCCCCCGTTCCCCTCCTATCCTGTTTTCCACCCCGGATCGTTCTTCACCACACTGTTCAGCTCGGTGTAATGGAAGTTACGCTTTAGTCAAATGCATACCAATTCAGAATGCCAGCTTGGAATATATACCCTTTCTTTGGCTGGGTGCGGCGCCTGACACCTGTAATCCCAGCGCTTTGGGCGGCCGAGGTGGATGAGTCACGAGGTCAGCAGTTCGAGACCAGCCTGACCAACATGGTGAAACCATGTTTCTACTAAAAATACAAAAATCAGCTAGGCGTGGTGGTGTGCACTGGTAATCCCAGCTACTTGGGAGGCTGAGGCAGGAGAATCCCTTGAACCCAGGAGGCGGAGGTTTCAGTGAGCTGAGATTGTGCCACTGCACTCCATCCTGGTGACAGATCAAGACTCTGTCTCAAAAAAAGAATATATACCCTTTCCCAAATCCAGTATCCCAGGAGAGATGACAAGAATTGATCCTTCTCTTTTCCCGTCAAGCTAAACCTCAGAGAAGTTGAACTGAATTCAAGTCCGAAAATACGGGGAAGAGAAAAAACAAAAATTCCAAGAAACAAACAGCGAAAAAACCCCGAATTTCATCATGAAAAAGTGTCCTGTTGCTCTGTTTCTGACCAACAGCTCCCCGCTGGGTTTTCACCCGGGCTCTGGGGCCGGCGCTTGCTGGGGTGTCTGATTCACTGGCACAGTCCACAGGGTCGGAGGGGCTCCCTGCCCTGGACGCAGTCAGGCCTTCTCCGCAGGAACCTGCCTGGGCAGACAGGGTTTTGCTGGTTCTCCCGCGGTAAGTCTGAGAGGAAACTTGAGTGCCTAGTCACAGTCTGGTACTTTGCCTTAACAAAAAACAAAAAGCCAAAAAGTTCTGGGTTTTTATTTGTTTAGAAAGAAATCTTTCTGAGCTGCTTCGGCTCTCACGGCCTGGGGCCGGGTGCAGCCCGTCAGTAGCTGCTGGGGCTGGGCCTTCTGCTCCCAGCCGGGGGCCACTGAGCCCCTCTAGAGGTAACAGAACACACCCAAGGTCTCCCTTCTTTAAAAAGGGCGCAGAGTTACTGGGCGAATATGAATTTCATATTGTTACCAGTGGAGGGTATCCAGGTTCTTGGCATCCTGAACAAAGAATTGGACAAAACACACAAGTAAGGAAGAAATGAAGAGATTTATTGAAAATGAAAGTGCACTCCACAGTGTGGGAGCAGCCAGCGTATGGGGCTCACAGTCCCTGCTACAGAATTTTGGGGAGTTTAGATAGCCCCTACAGGATTCCACTGGTGACATGGTGTACGCCTACGTAAATGGAGAGGATGAAGTCAAGTTACAAAGTCATGTCCTGGACGTGTGCCTGTGAGACGATGTTTCCATCATAGCTGAGGTGTGAATCAGCCCCGTGTCCCTGCCTCCAGCCTTGAATCAGCCCTGTGTCCCCTGCCTCCAGCCTTGAATCAGCCCCGTGTCCCCTGCCTCCAGCCTTGTTTTCCTGCCGCGGTGTCACCAGGCCACAGCCACACAACGTAGAAAATGGACTCCACGTGCCTCCAAGGTGAGCACCCTGGCTCTCAGGCGCGGAGACCTAGGGGCGTCCCAGGGAGAGTGGAGAGACGGAGAGAATGTGCTGGCTGGACCAGGTGTCGAAATAGCACAGACTGTTCCGTCAGAGGCGTGTGAACCAGAGCAGCTCCATCTTGAACAGGAGCCGGGTAAAGAGGCTGAAAGCCACTGGGTGAAGGTGGAGGTCAGCACAAG